AGGTATATATCATGGCATTAAAAGATACAGTTAGTTAAAGAAAAGCCTTGTCGAAACCATTTTTCTATAAAAGAAGACGTGTCTGTTTTAGATATATTTAATATAAGTCGTATAGCTGGGTTAGATGCATGTGGTAAGCAAATTGCAAAACTTTAATATCTATCGGTTAATGGTTAATGTTTTATTTTTTGATAGAGGGTCTTTTACTACTATGTAAACAAAACCTATATTTAATCGATAACTATTTTCAAACGTTGGAGGGTGAAATTGTTGATATATGGGATGCACCAACAAAGGTATCATTATTACACTATTTGTAATTGATTATTAATTTTAATGCTAAACGTTGGTTTCTGGATTTATTGAAGGAGCGAGATCAATATTTACAAATGCTTGCCTCTCATGCTGGCTACGTAAACAATACTAATACACCTTCTAAGGAAAACAAGCATAAGAGCAGGCGATGGTACTTACTATTATTATTTTTATTTATTATTCAGTTACATTCTTCTGCGTAACATAATTTTCTTGTATTTTATTAAGGGCTTTTGATGACATCAAAGAAGTTCATAAAAGGAAATTTTTGTTTCGGTAGGTTAGCGCTTATGTCTTATGAATTTGTTTGAATAATATTTCTAAAAAAAAAAAAAAAAAAAAAAAAAAAAAAGCTAAATTTGCTCAATATGATTTAGTGACGTTGCGCTTGAAATATTCTTTGCCGATGGCCGTAATTATTTGATAACCTTCTTCCTAAAGGAACGAGATATTGCATACAATAAACTTGTTGCGAGAGCTACTTTCTCAATTAGTGGCGCTGAATCTGTTATTGGCACATCTGCCCTTGATGCTGTATCTCCTGTTACACCATTAACAATTCCTTCGACTGGCTTGAGGTTTAACCTGGGCTTTTTTTCAAACTCAAACTCATCGTTGGCAGAACTGACACTAAGATGGGAAAAAAGGGAAATTTCGAATTTCCAATATTTGATGCATTTAAATACTCTAGCTGGTCGGTCGTATAACGGTAAGCGAATTTGCGTTTTTTTTTCGAATTAGTAAAATACATAGCTAAGTATATAATACATATTTAGATCTTACTCAATATCCCGTATTCCCTTGGATCTTGGCTGATTACACCAGTGAGGAGGTGTGTTATCAATTTAATTTCGATAGATAATATCCTGAACATAACATTTATAATACTCTTTTTTTTTTTTTTTTTTTCCTAGTTGGATCTATTAAATCCTGCGACGTTCCGTGACTTATCTAAACCAATGGGCGCACAAACTGAAGAACGCAAAAGTAAGACATTGAATAGAACATAATATAATGAGCTTAAATTTGCTGATATAATCATTAATTCATTATATATTAATCACATACAAATTTTAAAATAATATTTTTTTTAGAGGAATTCCAAATACGTTATCGTTCATTTGATCCTACGGCGAATGCAACAACACCGGCATTTCATTACGGAACCCACTACTCTTCTGCGATGATTGTTTGTTCATATTTAATTCGTCTTGAGCCTTTTACGCAACAATATCAAATCTATCCATTCATGAAGATGAGCACTGACATAATCACATTCAAGAGCCTAAAATTTAAAGACAACAATGAATATTATGCAGAATTAAGTACATGTTATGCATAATTAATAACTAACCTGACGGTGCTTATGTATGAATATTTTAGGATCACCATATGCCCAAGGTGGAAGAATAACCGAATCAATTACTTCACCCGTCCCTTGTTTGACACCTAGTTATCAAGTTAGTACAAAAAATTAGCTTAAATGTACAAAAATGAATATCAGTACGTACTATTTTCAACAGAATCTACGTCATCATTTGATGTTTCAGCATCACTTGCACTAGGAGTGAGTGTCATTTGGCGGTCATGCGATTTTCCTGAACAATAACAATACATTAATATGGAATATTTGTTAAAAGAATGTTAAATTTATTCTCTCTACCTCCTAAATGACGAACAGGCACGTCCAAATCTATCAAGTCATTAAATTTAATATTAGTTAAAGCATTGAAGCATCGATCGTATTTAACTGTACGAAGAACAGGTACTTGTCTGTGACTTATTCGAATTATTCATTGCATAAGGTTTAGATGATTCATTTGTATTCTTAAAATATAAGAAATAACAAGTAAATTAAGTCAATTAATACAAAAGGTATAAAATATATTTTGCGAAATAATTGTTTCTTACCTCTTTTGCACCATTTTCGTATTTGCTGCTCTTTGGCTTATAAGAAAATAATCGCAAATCTTCATTTTGTTCCAATTTTTTACGCATCCGACACCGCCCTAAAAATAATAAATTAGCAATACAATACAATACATACACGCCAAATATCAAATGTACTATACCTTCTGTGAAATCTAATCTCCATTTTGATTCGTGATCTGACGTTTTCGGACCCCAAAGAGCGCGTTCACGGAACAAATCAGCAGATGTTTTTGCCCACTCATCTCTCACATAATTATCGTGATCAATATTATCTTGAATTGATTTATAATAACGACTAGTCTCTACTTCTTGAATATTTCTTGACCACTGGGTGGTTTTAACTCTGTACTGATTAAAGAATTCTTGTTCCATCGAAGCCCTTTTAAATAATTTCTTGAGCTTTGTCATTCGTTTACTGTGCAAATTCCTCAGATATTCTTTACAGTTTTTAACTTCGGACGCAACAAAAGAGTACCATATTTTAGAAATATTATCTTGAAACAGCGTGTCAAGCGGTGTCCTCCGAGACTCAACCCAATCTAAAAATGAGTTAATGTCCTAAAATATTGTGTTAGATTGTATGAAATGAATCAGAGAGTTATAGCAAAGTCATAAATGGGTATATACCATTTCCAATAGTTTGTTAAACCCCTCTACTAATTCCTTATATTCTAACAATGAAAAATTTATTGAATGAATAGTTTTGCGATTTAATGATGCTGGAGAAGCTTTAAAGAGAAATTACCCATTCCTCTGACTCGCATTCTCAATATTCCTGGTATTTCATTTGGTTTTTGAAGCATTAATAATTTCC